CGCAACAAAGGACATTTGGTGGTAAAAGAGAGAATAGACAGAGAGCAGCTCTGCGGACAGAAATCTCCGTGTAGTTTCGGTATTGAGATTTTGCTTGAAACCCCTCTGGAATTTTTCTCGATTACCATCGAGATTCAAGACATCAATGATCATGCGCCCGTTTTTTCTAAGAAAGAAATAATTCTCGAAATAGGCGAGTCCACACCTGTAGGCACTATTTTCTTGTTAGACACAGCGACTGATCCAGATGTTGGTTTGAATTCTCTTCAGAGCTACAGTCTGAAGCCTACTGATAATTTTGCTTTAAAGCAACACAGTCGCTCAGACGGCAGTAAATATGCAGAGATGGTGTTGCAGTCAGTGCTGGACAGAGAGAAACAGAGCGCGCATTCACTTATTTTAACGGCTATTGACGGTGGAGACCCACCGCGCTCTGGAACCGTTAAAATAGTTATTACTGTCCTTGATGCCAATGATAATGCACCCATTTTTACGGAAACCATGTATAAAGCAAGTGTTGCTGAGAACGCAGTAAAAGGTACGTTGATAACTAAAGTAAGTGCATCTGATGCAGACGAAGGTTACAATGGCAATGTCACGTATTCATTTACTCATATGGGAGAGGACGCGGCGCACCTCTTCCAAATCAGTGCAGCCACTGGTGACGTAACACTCACTGGCAATTTAGACTATGAAACAGTTCAACAATATGAACTTAATTTGCAGGCTAAAGACCCATGGGGTCTAACCGGTGCAAGTAAATTAGTAGTGGATGTTGTGGATGTTAATGACAACAGCCCGTTTATAACAATGACATCTTTCTCGGGTAAAATACAAGAGGATTCTCCGCCCGGCACAGTTGTAGCTTTAATAAGCATCCAGGATTTAGATTCCGGTAAAAATGGACAGGTCCGCCTAGGCTTAGAACAAAGTACTCCATTTACAATTAAACCATCACCGCGCAAATACTACACTTTGGTCACCGATGCACCACTAGACCGAGAAAAAGTTTCCAGTTTTAACCTAACGTTAGTTGCGTCAGACGAGGGCAGCCCCTCATTATTCAGTAAAAGGACTATTTCTCTAGATATTACTGATATCAATGACAATGCGCCAGCCTTTAGTCAGCGTGAATATAAAACATATATATTTGAGAATAACTCTCCCGGCGTTTCTCTGCTGACTCTTCAAGCAACAGACCCTGATGCAGGGCAAAACGCGCGTATCGCATATTATCTGGTAGATAGAGATGTAAATGGTTCACCCGTCTCAACATACTTCTCTATTAACGCAGACAATGGAATTATCCATGCGGTGCGATCATTTGATTACGAACAGATGAACGCGTTTAAAATACATGTGAGAGCGCAAGATGGAGGGTCTCCACCTCTCGGTTCAAATGCTACAGTTCTCATTAACGTTCAAGACCAGAATGACAACGCGCCTCAGGTTCTGTATCCGGCCCAGTCAGGCGCTTCTGTGGTGGCTGAAATAGTGCCTCGTTCTGCAGATGTGGGTTATCTGGTGACTAAAGTGGTGGCTGTTGATGTGGACTCTGGACAGAATGCCTGGCTCTCATATAAACTGCAGAAAGCCACAGACAGAGCGCTGTTTGAAGTTGGTTTACAGAATGGAGAAATAAGAACTGTGCGCCAAGTGGCAGATAAAGATGCTGTGAAACAAAGACTCACTGTTGTAGTGGAGGACAACGGGCAGCCCTCTCGATCAGCTACAGTCAATGTTAACGTGGCGGTGGCGGACAGCTTCCCTGAAGTGCTCTTGGAGTTCACTGACTTTCCGCACGACAAGGAATACAACGATAATCTGACCTTTTATCTAGTCTTGGCTTTGGCTGCAGTCTCATTTCTTTTCATAACATGTTTGGTCGTCATAATATTGGTTAAAATATACAGATGGAGGCAATCTCGTTTGTATTATCAGTCAAATCTTCCGGTTATTCCATACTATCCGCCGCATTACGCAGACACTGTTGGCACAGGACCTCTGCAGCACGTTCACAATTATGAAATTTACAGAACCACAGACTCCAGGAAAAGTGACGTTAAGTATTTCGGACCCATCAGTCAAAGTCTGTTGAGTGTTGTTGACACGAGTGGAACCAAAACAATTCCAAAGGAGAAACGCAGCATCGATTGCACTGAAGCGGGCAGTACACTGGTAAGTCTGCACAATGTGATTTTTTGTCTTCTTTTTTCCTAAACATAGTTTTCAAAGGGTATTACTCGCTAGTAGTCTGAAATGTTTTGAATTATAGCTAAAAGTGACCCTTAAACGGCCTGTCGTCACCTGTCACCTGTCGCTGTCCATGGTGCTGAAAAGGATAGCCTCGCTTCAATAATTTATCTTCGATATGAATATGATTTATATGTATGAAGTGTGTGTGTGTGTGTGTGAATGTATGTATGTGTATATATATATATATATCAGTATGAAGGATGTCATAAAATTGGAAACATTTCACATATTTTGTCCCTTGCTTTGGCTCACTTTGAACAGCAAGGGCCGCTGTTGATCAGTAAAACATTTTATGGTGTGCTTCGTCATTCAGCAGTCTTCAGCCCTCCCCATTTTCTCGCATTGTGGCAGATAAGGGCAAGGCTGCCTCGACATTTTTATTCAGGGTTGCGTGCACGAGGCACCAAGGTTTGCAATACATTTTCCATTGTATTTATAATTCCTCACGGCATCTTGGACTACATCTCAACTTTGATTGGATATACAATTTGTTAATCTTGTGACTATGGTTCAGTGGGGTCATGATCGATCTTGGCGATGGAAAATGATGTGGCTGTTATCGATGTTTTTTTCTTGTTATATTTACACTGCAAGAGGACAGATACGATATTCGATTCCGGAGGAGATTAAGAAAGGCTCGCTCATAGGTAATGTAGCACAAGATCTGGGGCTTTATTTGAAAAGGCTTCGAACGGGTCGTGCGCGTATTGTGACCGGAGAAGGCACTCAGTACGCTGAGCTCAAAACAGACAAAGGGATTCTAGTTGTGAGTGAGAGAATAGACCGAGAACAGCTTTGCGGATACGTCACGCCATGCAGCTTTAGCTTCGAGATCATTTTAGAGAACCCAATGGAACTGCACCCAGTTACTATTGAAATATTGGATGAAAATGATCACGCGCCGTCCTTTCAGAACAAAGAGTTAAAATTCGAAATTAGCGAGTCTGCAACACTGGGTTCACGCTGTTTATTGGAAAGCGCAGATGATCACGATGTAGGCCTGAACTCACTGCAGAATTACATTTTATTGCCAAATAATCATTTTGTTTTAAAGCAACACTCAAATACAGACGGCAGTAAATACGCGGAAATGGTTTTACAGAAAGCGTTAGACCGGGAAGAGCGTCCGCATCTATCTCTAAAGCTGATTGCTGTAGATGGCGGAAACCCGCAGAGGTCTGGCTCTGTTAATATAGATGTTACTGTTTTAGATGCGAATGACAACGCACCTGTGTTTAACCAGACAGTCTATAGGGCTTCTGTGTTGGAAAATGCACCGAAGGGCACTTACATTACTACCGTTAATGCCACAGATGCAGACGCTAGTTTAAATGGGCGAATAACGTACAATTTCTACAAACAAAAAGGAGCTGCTGCGCAGTTATTTAACATTGACAGGGACACTGGCAATGTTTCTGTTGTTGGAGAAATTGATCATGAAAAAGATACTAAATTTGAACTTACAGTCGAGGCTAGGGATCAAGGTGGGTTAACTGATTTGAGTAAAATTGCAATAGAGGTCGCTGATGTAAACGACAATGCGCCTGTCATTAATACAATGTCTTTCTCGAGCACAGTATCTGAAAATGCTCCATCTGATACCACAATTGCAATAATAAATGTTAAGGACTCAGACACTGATGATAATGGCAAAGTCAATTGTTTTATCGAAGGATCTGAAGATTTTACAGTAAAATCGACTTTAAGAAATTATTATTCTTTAGTCACAAGTGCTATTTTAGATCGTGAGCAGTTGTCAGAGTATAACATCACTGTCATCGCCACTGATTCCGGAAAGCCGCCTCTAACAAGCAGAAAATGTTTTTATTTGAAAGTAACTGATGTTAATGATAATCCCCCGGTTTTTCAGGAGAGTGTTTATAATTCAAATTTGCTAGAGAATAATTCGCCTGGTGTTTCTATTCTTACAATCAGAGCTCGTGACCCGGACGAAAATCAGAATGCTCGTATATCTTACATTATAGAAGAAAGTGACTTGGGCGGGTCTCCTGTAGGAACGTATGTTTCTGTTAACGCTGAGAGCGGAGTTGTACACGCAGTGCGCTCTTTTGATTATGAACAGATCAAAAACATTCAAATAACAATTAAAGCACAGGATGGCGGCTCTCCTCCTCTTTGTAGCAACGTAACCGTGAACATTTTCATCCAAGGTCAGAATGACAACGCGCCTCAGGTTCTGTATCCGGTCCAGTCAGGCGCTTCTGTGGTGGCTGAAATAGTGCCTCGTTCTGCAGATGTGGGTTATCTGGTGACTAAAGTGGTGGCTGTTGATGTGGACTCTGGACAGAATGCCTGGCTCTCATATAAACTGCAGAAAGCCACAGACAGGGCGCTGTTTGAAGTGGGCTTACAGAATGGAGAAATAAGAACTGTGCGCCAAGTGACAGATAAAGATGCTGTGAAACAAAGACTCACTGTTGTAGTGGAGGACAACGGGCAGCCCTCTCGATCAGCTACAGTCAATGTTAACGTGGCGGTGGCGGACAGCTTCCCTGAAGTGCTCTCGGAGTTCACTGACTTTATGCACGACAAGGAATATAACAATAACCTGACTTTCTATCTGGTCCTGGCCTTGGCCGCAGTCTCATTTCTTTTCATAACATGTTTGGTCGTCATAGTATCTGTTAAAATCTACAGGTGGAGGCAATCTCAACTGTATTACAAGTCCAATCTTCCAGTTATTCCGTATTATCCACCGCGTTACGCGGACACTGTTGGCACAGGAACTCTGCAGCACGCCTATAATTATGAGGTTTACAGAACGACCGATTCCAGAAGGAGTGACTGTAAGTTTGTCAGAACTGCAAGTCAGAACGTGTTGATGGTGGATCCTAATTCTACATTGACAGTGCAGCGCGCGCCCAGCGATAAAAATATGCTGGATGAATTAGATTCGCCGGTAGAGGTAAGATATGATTTGTATTATTATTATTATTGTTGTTGTTGTTGTTGTTTTTGTGTACTCAGTTAATGTAATATGGTAATGTGGTAAACTTTGAAACTTTGGACCTGTGCAACATTTTACTCATTTATCTTTACATGTTTGTGCGGAGTTTGCATATATTTCAGCACCTCCTCAGTGGACAGCGCTGGTGTCGATTTACATGATTTTGCCCCTTCTTTTTCTTTAAATGTATGCGTTCTGTTAATTAGGGCTGCACGATTAGGACAAAACTCATAATTGTCGATTATTCCTTTGAAATTGTAATTGCGATTATTAATTTACGATTAAATGAATGATGTTTACGCCTTTGCTTGAAGCAACGTCATGCCATATTTTTATATGAAAATAAACAAGCCGAAAACACTAACTGAAAAACGTTTATTGCTTTTCTATAGTATTAAGCCTCAAATGTCAACTATACATCCGATTGGTTTCTCTTTAAATAAAAAGGTAAAAATATGCATGGTGTTATAATGTTATACTAAAACTAAAATTAAAACAATAGAAAAACCCTTAAGATAACATGTAGAAAGAAAAAAAAGCATCTTAAGCATGCAGAATAACATAAGTGGACTTTGAACGATTAATTGTTGCTTTGAACGATTGTGCAGCCCTACTGTTAATGCTTATTTTGGACTCTAAGGGCCGCTGTTGGTCAATGAAATACTTTATGTGCAGTAGGCTTGCCTCACACATAAAGTGCGTGCTGCGACGCAGCAGACTCCTCTGTTTCATTCGTGACGAGTTGGTGAGAGGGTGACTGTCTTTTTTCTTCCAAACGAATACAAGACGTTTTTGTAATCCTTCCTTGGAATATTCTTCTATCATATAGGAATATTAATGGTGAACTTGCTTGCTAATCAGTATGGCTGTTAAGGATTTTTATCGAAATGGATGCGCTCAATGGCGTGTTTTCTTCCAACCGCAGTGGCAAGTATTGTTTTTCATCTCGTGTTACATTTCTTTTGCCATCTCTCAAATCCGCTACTCCATCCCTGAAGAAATGAGTAAAGGCTTGCTTATTGGTAATGTAGCACAGGATCTGGGGCTCGATATGAAAAGGCTTCGAACGGGTCGTGCGCGTATCGTTACCGGAGAAAGCACTCAGTACGCAGAGCTTATAACAGACAAAGGGATTCTAGTCGTGAGTGAGAGAATAGACCGAGAACAGCTTTGCGGCGACATCACGCCATGCAGCTTCAGCTTCGAGATCATTCTCGAGAACCCAATTGAACTGCATCAGGTAACCGTTGAAATCATAGACGTTAATGATAATTCTCCTGTATTCGAGAAAAGCAAAATTAATTTTGAAATAAGCGAATCTGCGTCAACTGGTTCACGCTTTGCATTAGAGAGTGCATATGATGCTGATGTAGAATTTAATTCATTGCAAAATTATGTTCTCACAAGGAACAATTATTTCGTTTTAAAACAACACTCAAATCCCGACGGAAGTAGGTATGTCGAAATGGTCCTTGATAAAGCCTTAGATCGGGAGGAGCATCCTAATCTATCTCTGAAGCTGATCGCTGTTGATGGCGGAAACCCGCAGAGATCTGGCTCTGTTAATATAGATGTTACAGTTTTAGATGCGAATGATAACGCACCTGAGTTTAACCAGACTATTTATAGGGCGTCTGTGATGGAAAATGCACCGAAGGGCACTTACATTACTACCGTTAATGCCACAGATGCAGATAGTGGGTCAAACGGACACATTACGTTTTCCTTCTCTGACCTGAAAGAACATTCGAGAGATATTTTTAGCATTGATGACAGCACTGGCTTGGTGTCTGTTTTAGGAAATATTGATTTTGAGAAAGAAAAACGTTTTGAAATTAGAGTTAAAGCGATAGACCAAGGAGGCTTGACTAGTACAAGTAAGCTTGTAATCGAAGTAGTGGATGTAAATGACAATGCGCCCGTAATCAACCTCATGTCTCTCTCGAGCCCTGTAGCAGAGGATGTGCCTCCAGGTACAACAATTGCAGTGGTTAATATAAAAGATTTTGATTCTGGGAGAAATGGACAGGTTGCGTGCTTTATTAATGAAAACCTTCCATTTAACATCAAATCATCCCTCTCTAACTATTATAATTTGATCACAGATGCTTTCCTTGACCGTGAAACTCACTCAGAATATAATATAACAGTGACCGCAAGCGATTCAGGTTCACCTGCACTTTCGAGCTCAACGACACTGCTCCTTAAGGTTTCTGACATCAATGATAACGCACCAGTTTTCGATCGAGGTAGCTATTCAACACACCTACTTGAAAATAACGAACCAGGTCTGTCCATATGTAGTATAACTGCAAGAGATTTAGACTGGAATCAAAACGCCAGAGTGTCATATTTTTTAGAAAATACTCAAATTGGTGGAGCGCCGATTTCCTCTTATGTGTCCATAAACTCAGAGAATGGTGTAATACATGCTGTTCGTTCATTTGATTATGAGCAAATTAAAAAGCTTAGTTTCGCTGTAAAAGCGCAGGACGGAGGAAGTCCTCCTCTCAGCAGCAACGTGAGCGTGAAAATAATGATTCAGGACAAGAATGACAACGCGCCTCAGGTTCTGTATCCGGTCCAGTCAGGCGCTTCTGTGGTGGCTGAAATAGTGCCTCGTTCTGCAGATGTGGGTTATCTGGTGACTAAAGTGGTGGCTGTTGATGTGGACTCTGGACAGAATGCCTGGCTCTCATATAAACTGCAGAAAGCCACAGACAAGGCGCTGTTTGAAGTGGGCTTACAGAATGGAGAAATAAGAACTGTGCGCCAAGTGACAGATAAAGATGCTGTGAAACAAAGACTCACTGTTGTAGTGGAGGACAACGGGCAGCCCTCTCGATCAGCTACAGTCAATGTTAACGTGGCGGTGGCGGACAACTTCCCTGAGGCGCTCTCGGAGTTCACTGACTTAACGCACGACAAGGACTACAACGACAATCTGACATTGAGCAAATTAAAAAGCTTAGTTTCGCTGTAAAAGCGCAGGACGGAGGAAGTCCTCCTCTCAGCAGCAACGTGAGCGTGAAAATAATGATTCAGGACCAGAATGACAACGCGCCTCAGGTTCTGTATCCGGTCCAGTCAGGCGCTTCTGTGGTGGCTGAAATAGTGCCTCGTTCTGCAGATGTGGGTTATCTGGTGACTAAAGTGGTGGCTGTTGATGTGGACTCTGGACAGAATGCCTGGCTCTCATATAAACTGCAGAAAGCCACAGACAGGGCGCTGTTTGAAGTGGGCTTACAGAATGGAGAAATAAGAACTGTGCGCCAAGTGACAGATAAAGATGCTGTGAAACAAAGACTCACTGTTGTAGTGGAGGACAACGGGCAGCCCTCTCGATCAGCTACAGTCAATGTTAACGTGGCGGTGGCGGACAGCTTCCCTGAAGTGCTCTCGGAGTTCACTGACTTTCCGCACGACAAGGACTACAACGACAACCTGACTTTCTATCTGGTCTTGGCCTTGGCTGTAGTTTCGTTTCTCTTTATCGTGTCTATCATTGCCATACTGTCAGTCAAATGCTACAGATGGAGACGCGAGCGGATGTTTTACAAATCTGGAGCGAATCTTCCAGTTATTCCGTATTATCCGCCTCTTTACGCAGACGTAGGGGGCACAGGAACTTTACAGCACGTGTACAATTATGAGGTTTGCAGAACCACTGACTCCAGAAAGAGTGATCTGAAATACGGCAGACCCTGCAGTGAAAGCATCATTAGTCTGGACAGCAGTGGAACACAGACACTCACGCATGCTCAGAGAGAAAAGCCAACCAATCAAGATTTCGATGATCAGGTGAGATTTATATATTGGTATCTGTTAGAGTCTTTTTTTCTTCGTGTATGTGTGTACATATATGAAATTTATTTGTGGGACTATTGTTAAGTCCACCGTTGCTTGTGTGCTTTTCTGTAAACGCTTTTTTTGGTACCAAGTAAGGTAATTCTCAAAACAGTGAAACTACACCCATTTTGTCATTTTAGATAGTTATTGTACGATATACACTCTTAAAAATAAAGGTGCTTCAAAAGGTTCTTCAAGTGATGCCATAGAAGAACCATTTTTGGTTCCACAAAGAACCATTCAGTCAAAGGTTCTTTAAAGAACCATCTCTTTCTTACCTTTTTGTAATCTGAAGAACCTTATTTCGCCACAAAGAACCTTTTGTGAAACAGAAAGGTTCTTCAGATGTTAAAGGTTCTTTATGGAACCATTTAGGCAAAAAGGTTCTTCTATGGCATCGTGAAGCACCTTTATTTTTAAGAGTGTATGAGTAATATATTTATTGTATAAAACCGTTGTGTAGAAAATGTCTTGATTCACTGACCATGGTGCTGAAATACTGTCAGTTGGATGTTCCTCCTTATGACAGTCCGTTTTTCTCCCTTAGAGAAGTATAGTTTTCTCATGTTGCTTACATTTTTACACATTTTGTAATTAGCTTTAGTAAATGTTTTTATTTTTCCTATTTAAAAAAAAATTATATTTTTTAATTAGGCATACATGACAATTTAAATACTAACCAACCGCACATTTCTTAGAAGTTGATTGCAGTCCAAATGTATGTTAATTAATATATTTATAGTGTATATGTTTAATATATTATTATATAATGTATCTTTTTTTACTTTTTGAAATTTTTATATTTTATTTTAATTTGTCGCGATTGGGGCAGCAGACGTCTAAAATAATAATAACAAGAGGTATGTGTGTATTCATTTTCTGTAGTTCATCAGACTGGACTCATAGTGCCGCTGTTGGTCAATATGTCAGTTTAGAGAGCAGATCTGCTGCAGTTCCACCCCCATCATCACCATATTATTAGAGAGAGACAGAAGCTGAGAAGCACAGTCTGAGAAGAAGAAAGAAGGCAAATCCCAGAGATAATATATGTATTATAATTTTTTTTAGGATTTACAGACTTTTATTGCTACTTTTCACTTTGGATATTTTCATGATTTCCTCCAGCTTTTTGGATTAATTTGTTTCCTGCCTTAATCTTCTCTTCTATGGTCTTCAGCAAAATGTCGGAAAGGACAATGGCGCGGCAAGTACTGCTGTTTATTTGGGTTCTCTCTCTCAGTTCGGCTCTCGGGCAGGTCAGTTACTCCATTCCTGAGGAAATGGCCAAAGGCTCTTTAGTCGGGAGCATAGCGCAGGATTTGGGTTTAGATTTAAAGAGACTGAAATCGGGTAAAGCGCGTATTTATACAGGAGGCAGCGCTGAATACATCGAACTGAATAAAGAAAGAGGAGTCCTTCTTATCAAAGAGAGAATAGACCGAGAGACGCTATGCGGACAGACAACGCCTTGCGCTCTACATTTTCAGATTATTCTCGAAAATCCTATGCAATTGTACCGCATTACAGTTGAGGTCACAGATATAAATGACAATGCACCGATGTTTAGTAAGAGTGAGATGAGATTTGAAATAAACGAAATGTCTTTAGCAGGAGCCAGATTTATATTGGAGCGTGCTATTGATCATGACGTCGGTGGAAATGGTCTGCAGAGTTATTCTTTAGAACCGACAGATAATTTTGTTTTGAAATTTCAGAATCTCCCCAACGGAAATAAAGCCGTCGAAATGGTTCTCCAAACGCCCTTAGATCGCGAGAAAAAAGATCATATCTCTTTACTTTTAACAGCATTCGACGGAGGCGAGCCCCAGATGTCCGGTACAATTAAGATACATATTAAAGCTTTAGATGCTAATGATAACGCCCCTGTGTGTTCACAATCCGTATACAAAACTAGCATAACTGAAAATTCTCCAAAAGGCACAGTTTTAACTACAGTTGACGCTTCTGATGCTGACCAAGGTTCAAATGGTATAATATCATTCTCTATTTCAAGTACTGCGGACAAAGCGGCAGATATTTTTGAAATAGATCCTGATGCTGGTGTTGTAAAGCTTATTGGGGGCATAGATTACGAAATAAGTAAGTATTATCAAATTGATGTGCAGGCACGAGATGAAGGCGGTCATACGGATTCGTGTAAAATAATTGTTGACGTTATTGACACAAACGATAATAATCCCACTATTAATATTATTTCAAAATCAAGCCAGATATCAGAGGATTCCAAATCTGGCACTGTTTTAGCAATATTAAATATTCAAGACGTAGACTCGAATGAAAGCGGCAAAGTTAATTGTCACTTAAATGAAAATGTTCCATTCGTCATTCAATCTTCGCCCGATGGGTTCTTCAGTTTAGTCACAGAAGGTGATTTAGACCGAGAGCGCGAGTCTGAGTATAACTGACTTTCTATCTGGTCTTGGCCTTGGCTGTAGTTTCGTTTCTCTTTATCGTGTCTATCATCGCCATACTGTCAGTCAAATGCTACAGATGGAGACGCGAGCGGATGTTTTACAAATCTGGAGCGAATCTTCCAGTTATTCCGTATTATCCGCCTCTTTACGCAGACGTAGGGGGCACAGGAACTTTACAGCACGTGTACAATTATGAGGTTTGCAGAACCACTGACTCCAGAAAGAGTGATCTGAAATACGGCAGACCTTGCAGCATTAGTCTCATTAGTCTGGACAGCAGTGGAACACAGACACTCACGCATGCGCAAAGGGAGAGAATGAACTTTGACGATTGTGACGATCAGGTGAGAAATATTTTTTACAGCCAATATTATATTTAAAAAAAATGTTTATAATAATTAATCATTTTTGCTTCAGCTGTTGTTGACACGTCACTGATTATTTGTCTGAAATAAATAGTTTCTGCAATTTTAAGTTGACTATTAAATAATGGGGTATTTTGATATTATATTATAGTCTGGTCAGTTTTTATAGTTGTATATGTTCTGCATTTCTATTATAGTCAAATTATTAGTCTATTTTTTATTTGTATCTCTTTTTGTACAGGTAAGAAAAAAATACTTTCTTTTATTTTTTATTTTTTACATTTTTTTTAATGCGTTAAGTAGAAGTTTTTGTTTTGTTTTTTGTATATTATGGTTATTTATTTATTTTTATTTTAAGTCCGAGGTAATATGGCACATTGTCACTGATACATATGCTAGCGATTTAACATGTGGTGGCATTTTCAATTTTTATTCGACCTTTACTTTTTTATGCACGACTGTTATACTTTTTTTTTTGTCATGAAGTGAGAAACTTCAACTTCCCTGACCATGGTCCTGAAATGCAGCGAGGCGGTCATTTTCGTCATGGATTCTGATACGTCTTTTTACAGCAGTCTTTTTCTTTCTTCTTGTTTTTTAAACTGCAGTTTGTCTGTCTATCCTCTTGTTCACATTTAAATGATTCAAGCTTTCATAAGTTTTCAGGTCCTTGGTATCTGAATAATTGTATTTTATATATTTCTCCCTGTATCTCTGATCAATGGACACGCGGATGGGGCCTGATCAAAACACTGAGGGAACAATAAATTTGTTTACATTTTTTTCATTAAATCTTATTTACACAGACTCATTAAATAATTTTATCTCTTAGATGTTTGTATCATAATAGACATTTGCTAGTTCTATATTGCAGTACTTTGTTCGGTAAATTGCTTGTCTTATACATTTCTGACAGAGAAAAATGGTTATTAATTTTACATTTTCTGTAGTTCATCAGACTGGACTCATAGTGCCGCTGTTGGTCAATATGTCAGTTTAGAGAGCAGATCTGCTGCAGTTTCACCCCCATCATCACCATATTATTAGAGAGAGACAGAAGCTGAGAGCACAGTCTGAGAAGCAGAGAGAAGACAAATCACGGAGATACTGTATTTAGTATCCTTTTCTTTGATTTACAGACTTTTTTGTTAGTTCTCGTCACTTTGGAGTTATACATAATTTCCTCCAGCTTTTTGGATTGTTTTATTTGCTTTCTGTCTTAATCTTCTCTTCTATGGTCTTCTGTAAAATGTCGGACAGAACAATGGCGCGGCAAGTACTGCTGTTTATTTGGTTTCTCTCTCTCAGTTCGGCTCTCGGGCAGGTCAGTTACTCCATTCCTGAGGAAATGGCCAAAGGCTCTTTAGTAGGGAACATAGCGCAAGATTTGGGTTTAGATTTAAAGAGACTGAAATCGGGTAAAGCGCGTATTTTTACAGGCGACAGCGCTGAATACATCGAGCTGAATAAAGAAAGAGGGATCCTCCTTATCAAAGAGAGAATAGACCGAGAGTCGCTATGCGGACAGACAACGCCTTGCGCGCTACATTTTCAGATTATTCTTGAAAACCCAATGGAATTTTACTCAGTTACAATCGAAGTTACAGATATAAATGACCATTCGCCATCTTTTAAACGAGCTGAGATGAAATTCAGAATTAGTGAGTCAGCTGCAACTGGGGCAGTTTTTGTTTTAGAGAGAGCGATGGATTTAGACGTCGGAATAAACGGCCTTCAGACTTATATATTAAAGGCTACTGATAATTTTTCTTTAAAATTACAAAGTCAGGCAGACGGTAGTAAGCTAGTAGAAATGGTTCTTCTAAAACCTCTCGATCGTGAAAAGCAAGACCATTTGTCTTTGGTTCTGACAGCGATAGATGGAGGTGATCCACAATTGTCTGGTACTGCGCAGATACTTATTACTGTTTTAGATGCTAACGATAATGCGCCTGTTTTTACTCATAAAACATATAAAGCGAGTATCACCGAGAATGCTTTTAAAGACACAGTTGTGACGATTGTGAGCGCTTCTGATTTGGATGAGGGATCTTACGGCAAAATTACGTATGCTATTACAAATACCCTCGACAATGTTCCGGAGTTGTTTGAAATTAACGAAACAAACGGTGAGATGAGAGTAACGGGCAATATAGATTACGAGAAAGCTCGCCACTATCAAATTCATGTGCAGGCCAGCGATGACGGGGGTCTGACTGATTCTTGTAAAATCGATGTGGATGTGATTGATATAAATGACAATAAACCACAGATCAACATAATGTCTAAATTAACCACAATATCAGAAAACTCTAATCCTGGAACTGTTGTAACAATGATAAATGCACAAGACCCAGATGCAGAAGAAAACGGTAAAATTTTGTGTTCAGTTAATGAGAACATTCCCTTTACTCTGAAGTCGACAAATACCAATTTCTTCAGTTTAGTCACAGATGGTGATTTAGACCGAGAGCGCGAGTCTGAGTATAACATCAGTATGACGTGCGCTGATGAGGGCGTGCCCTCTCTCTCCAGCAGGGCAGACCTTGCAGTGAGAGCATCATTAGTCTGGACAGCAGTGGAACACAGACACTCACGCATGCGCAAAGGGAGACACTGAACTTTGATGATTGTGATAAGGTGAGAAATATTTTTACAGTTAATTTATATTGATATTTTAAAACGTTGTTCCTCATAATCATTTTTGCTTTAGCTTTTGACAGTATCGCTGATTAATTTTCTTTTTCTTTGTGAGTAGTTGACAATTAAATAATGCTGTGTTTTGATGATGTTATAGATTGGTCAATTTTAATTGTTGTGCATTTTCTGCATTTCTATTACTCAAATAATTGTTCTCTGTTTTTATTCGTATCACATTTTGTACAGTAAAAAAAAAATAGAAAGAAAAATGTTATGAATTAAGTAGAAGTTGATATTTTAAAATATATATTAGTTTTTCTTTTAGTATTTGTTTATTTATTTTAATTTTAGGTCCGAGGTAATGCACTGTCACTGATTCATAGGCTAGCGATTTAACATGCGGTGGCATTTTTAATTCCTATTTGACCTCAACTTTTTTTTTTTCTGCACGACTGTTGTACTTGTCTGTCGTGAAATTAGAAACGTCAGCTTCCCTGTCCATGGTCCTGTAATGCAGCGAGGCGGTAATTTTCCTCATGTATTCTGATGCATCGCTACAGCACCGTGCTTTTTGAGAATTTTTGTCTGCAGTTTCTCTGTCTGTTCACGGTTAAACGATACAACATTTAATTCGGTTTCAGATGCTTGGTATGTGTTCAATTATATTTCAGATTTTTCTCCCTGACACTCTGATGAATGGACACGCGGATAGGACCTGATCAAAACACTGAGGGAACGAGAAATTTATTTGTTTCGGGTTTTTTTTCTTTAAATCTTATTTACACAAACTCATACAATCATTTTATCTCTTAGATGTTTGTAGTATAATGCACATTTGCTATATATTTTTTTTTTTACTTGAGTACTTTATTCAGTAACTTGCTTTTCTTAGACATGTCTAACACAGAGATGAAGGTTTATTCGTTTTTAATTTTCTGTAATTCATCAGACTGGACTCATAGTGCCGCTGTTGGTCAATATGTCAGTTTAGAGAGCAGATCTGCTGCAGTTCCACCCCCATCATCACCATATTATTAGAGAGAGACAGAATCTGACAGCACAGTCTGAGGAGGAGAGAAGACTGATCACGAAGATACTGTATTTACTATCCTTTTCTTTAAATTACTGACTTTTTTGTTGGTTTTCGTCACTTTGGATATACACGATTTTCTCCAGCTTTTTTGATTGATTTATTTGCTTTCTACCGTAATCTTCCTTCCATGGTCTTCTGCAAAATGTCGGACAGAACAATGGCGCGGCAAGTACTGCTGTTTATTTGGTTTCTCTCTCTCAGTTCTGCTCTCGGGCAGGTCAGTTACTTCATTCCTGAGGAAATGGCGAAAGGCTCTTTAGTAGGGAACATAGCGCAGGATTTGGGTTTAGGTTTAAAGAGACTGCAATCGGGTAAAGCGCGTATTTTTACAGGAGACAGCGCTGAGTACATCGAGCTGAATAAAGAAAGAGGGATCCTCCTTATCAAAGAGAGAATAGACCGAGAGGCGCTATGCGGACAGACAACGCCTTGCGCGCTACATTTTCAGATTATTCTAGAAAACCCAATGGAATTTTTTAGAGTTACAATTGAAATAACAGATATTAATGACAATGTTCCCAGTTTTAAAAAGAGTACGATTATTTTTAGAATCAGCGAATCAGTTATTTTAGGGTCTAAATTTATGTTAGAGCCTGCAATAGATCTAGATGTGGGAGTCAACGGCCTTCAAAGCTATACGCTAAAACCCACTCATAATTTTAATCTTAAATTTAAAAATCAGCAGGGAGAAGGGGAAAATGTTGAATTGGTTCTACAAAAGCCTTTAGATCGTGAAAAACAGAATGATATAAAATTAGTGCTCACAGCTATTGATGGAGGAGATCCTCAGTTGTCTGGCAGCATAGAGATTCACATTACGGTTTTAGACGCAAACGACAATGCTCCTGTTTTCTTGCAATCAATTTATAAAGCGACTGTAACAGAGAATGCGCCAAAAGACACTATAGTGTCACAGGTGAGCGCAACTGATGCAGATGAGGGTGTAAATAATAAAATAGAGTATTCTATTGCAAACATGCAAGATTATGATCAACAGTTATTTGAAATAGATAAAGACAGTGGCCAAGTTACGGCGGTCGGAATAATAGACTTTGAAAAAGCTCACAATTATGAGCTACGCGTTCAAGCGAGTGATCACGGTGGTCTGACTGATTCTTGTAAAATCATAGTTGATGTAATTGATATCAATGACAATAAACCAGTAATCAATATTATGTCCAAAACAAACGTGATAGCTGAAAATTCCGCGTCTGAGACGGTGGTAACGATGATAAATGTTCAGGATCTTGATTCGGGAGAAAACGGGAAAGTTAAATGTTCAGTTAATGAGAACATTCCTTTCACCTTGAAGTCGTCAAATGTAATGCTACAGATGGAGACGCGAGCGGATGTTTTACAAATCTGGAGCGAATCTTCCAGTTATTCCATATTACCCGCCTCTTTACGCAGATGTAGGGGGCACAGGAACTTTACAGCACGTGTACAATTATGAGGTTTGCAGAACCACTGACTCCAGAAAGAGTGATCTGAAATACGGCAGACCTTGCAGTGAGAGCATCATTAGTCTGGACAGCAGTGGAACACAGACACTCACGCATGCGCAGAGAGGAAAACTGATCAATGAAGACTTTGATCAGGTGAGATTTTTTTTATTTACAGTTTGTGTAGCAGCGTACAACACTTTTGACTGCAAAAGCATTCAAACCGTTCATACATCTTAAATATTTCCAATTTTGCATACAATAACAATCTAGTTGCTACTCACTTAATTAGACTTATTTTTATGATGGCATCGTAGCTGTAGAATTAAGTATTTCCCTGCTATTTATTTTCTTGTGTTAATGTTCCTTTTTTAATGTGAGGTGTATTTGCAACAGTTATATGATTCAAATATTTTATCGGTTTTTAAATAAAATTAATATTCTTGTGTTGCTACTTTAAGACCATTTCCATTCTTTGGATGGATGGTTATTTCAGGTGTTTCTGCTGTAATGTTAAGTGGTTTTATCTGCCTTATCCATATTTTACAGTTTTAAAATTACAATGCGTTTTTGAAGACTGTTTTGAGTATCTTTCTTATATGCTTGTGAACACCAGCAGAACTCAAATTCATGGTAACTGGCCGTGGTGCTGAAAGGTTCAGTCTTGGGGTTTTATTGCTTAGTTTTTTCCTTTACCTCCGTTTGTTGAAGCATATAATGTAGAACTTCTACGTCCTTCCAGTCTCTCAATACGTTTAGAATTTAAAGGTCTCGTATTGGTTCATATTAATATATTTCACGTTTCTCTCTATTATTCCGTTAAGAGGCACACCTAAGTTTGTGCTAATTCAATATCTAATCCTTTTCATTTTATTTTGTTTATTATTATTATTATTATTATATTTTTACTTTTAGAATTTGTTTATGGGAAAACATGCAATCATAGCTAATTTTTAGATAATTTTATTTTGATTGACAATCGCAGCGGCAGTATTTTAATTATTATTGCAATGTGGAATAATTCTAAAACGTGTCTCGTAGTGTAGAAAAAAACTGCCTCTATTTGGTCATTCTGTAGTTCATCAGACTGGACTCATAGTGCCGCTGTTGGTCAATATGTCAGTTTAGAGAGCAGATCTGCTGCAGTTCCACCCCCATCATCACCATATTATTAGAGAGAGACAGAAGCTGAGAGCACAGTCTGAGGAGGAGGAGAGAAGACTGATCACGGAGATACTGTGTTTATAATCCTTTTTCTGGAATTACAGACACTTTTGTTAGTTCTTATCGCTTTGGATATATGCATCATTTCCTCCAGCTTCTTGGATTGATTTATTTGTTTTCTGCTTGAATCTTCATTCCGTGGTCTTCTGCAAAATGTCGGACAGGACAATGGCGCGGCAAGTATTGCTGTTTATTTGGTTTCTCTCTCTCAGCTCGGCTCTCGGGCAGGTCAGTTACTCCATTCCTGAGGAAATGGCGAAAGGCTCTTTAGTCGGGGGCATAGCTCAGGATTTGGGTTTAGATTTAAAGAGACTGAAATCGGGTAAAGCGCGTATTTATACTGGAGACAGCGCTGAATACATCGAACTGAATAAAGAAAGAGGAGTCCTCCTTATCAAAGAGAGAATAGACCGAGAGGCGCTATGCGGACAGACTACGCCTTGTGCGCTACATTTTCAGATTATTCTTGAAAACCCAATGGAGTTTTACAGTGTTAATGTTGAGGTGCTTGATATAAATGACAACGCACCGTTTTTTGAAAAAAATAAAATTATATTCAGAATTAGCGAATCTGCATCAATTGGTACCAAATTTACTATAGAACCTGCTAGAGATCTTGACGTTGGAATTAATGGTTTGCAGACCTACACATTAAAACCGACAGATAATTTTGCCTTGAAATTTAAGAGCCAGCCAGTGGGAGGACAAAATGTCGAAATGATTTTACAAAAGCCTCTAGATCGTGAGAAGCAGGATGACATGTCTTTAACGTTAACAGTTATCGACGGTGGAGATCCACAAATGTCTGGTAATATTCAGATAAATATTATTGTTTTAGATGTGAACGATAACGCTCCTGTTTTCACACAGTCAGTTTATAAAACTGCTGTAACAGAAAATTCACCAAAAGGAACAATTGTGACGACAGTTAGTGCGTCGGATCCAGATCAAGGAGTAAACGGTGAAATAATCTATTCAATAACAAACACGCTAGATAAAGTTCGAGACATATTTGAAATCAACGAGACTGATGGCAAAGTACGGTTGATCGGTCTAGTTGATTATGAACAAGCTCGGCACTTTGAGATTCGCGTTCAAGCGAGTGATCATGGAGGCTTTACTGATTCGTGTAAGATCATAGTTGATGCAATTGATATCAATGATAATAAACCAGTGATCAATATTATGTCCAAAACAAACCTGATAGCTGAAAATTCCGCG